AATGAGGGAAAAACAAATGAATGACTGTTTTCAAAACTCAAATGTACCAGCTAAATGAATTTATAAATTTGATTTTGTAATTCTTAACAAAAGAGGAGATATTTCAGTAGTTTCCATTATTTATGATTGTAAATATAATTTTTTTATATAAACAAATATAATAGGTACTTTGCGAATTGAATAGGAAGTGTTCAATAAAAATGCATGTCGTTTTTTGATTGGTACATTTAATTAAAAACCATGTTTATGTTTGAATAACGGTAATAATAATGTTTATGTTATAATAATCGGTCTTATGAATTTGCGACCGATAAATATTTGCGCCTCGGCTGAGACGTACGAAATGCTTTATTATTAAATTTTTAAGTATAAAAAATCCGCATTCTAATATAAAGCTTAATTAAAAATTGTTTTGGGAAACATGGACAAGGTGGAGAAAAGAAATATCTTTTACTTGGATAAAGAGGTATCTATAACCAAGTAAAAGATATTTTACAATTTATTTGTTTGGTTTTATTATTATTACGGATTTATTATTTCTTTATTTCTATTCTATTATTTATTTCCTCCATTTTTTTATATATTCCATAAAATCATCACTGCGGCGCGGCACTCACGACTGTCTGCATGCCGAGATCGAGGCGCGTAGGTATAGCTCTCGCTTCGTCCGTTTCTATGAAGTTGGAATACTGTATAGATAAAATTACCGTGGTATTAGTTTATGTAAGCAAAAAATATCGTGTAGAGCATGTCTATCACGCAGTGATGAAACTCCAAACGTAAGTAGTCTCTCCTGATAAGACGGTAGCTTGCGACTTATTTTCAGCCTATAACTAACTATCTTAAGAGCTTTGTTTTGGATCTGTTTTAGACGCTTGGAGTGCACTTCGTAAAATGGAGACAATACAACAGAACCATACTCAAGAGTAGGGGAGCCAGGGGGGAATGGTAGTCAGTGGGCAATGCGGGTCAGTTCAAAATGAATTGAACCTAAAGCTTTACAGAATACAGCTCTGTCGCATGGGGTGTAGCTCCGCACCCCTCTCGCACTTGCCAATACGCCGGCCCGCCACTCACCCTCGCGTCATCAGGAACAACACATGTGTCATAGAGGAGGAGCCGTTGTAAAATTTTAGAAATTTCGATCGAAAACGTGAGTATCTATATTTGTTACTTTTGCATATAAAATAATCATAAAGTGTAGTACTAAGACTAAACTTATGTTTATAATTGCAATTTATTAGTTTTTTTGGTGTTTTTATTTAATAATTCAAATCTAGCAAACAAACCGTCCTTGGGGTAATGAGAGTTAGTTGACCCCCATTTCCCGCATCGTTTTTCATTATATATAAACATTTTTGTTCATTTCAGACGTCAAGGAACTGGATTAGAAAGACCTTTAAAGCGAGTTGGACTGTAGGCGACTTGCAGTCAGCTGCTGTATGCATCAGACAAGGCGGCAATGCGCAAAGTTGCCGAGGAAACTCGTATTCCTTTCAGCACATTACAAAGAAGGATAAAGAAAGATATATTTAAACCTCTAAAATTAGGAAGGCATGCCGTTTTTAACGAAGAGCAAGAAAATAAGTTTGTTGGTTTAACGTCATATTAGCTAAGAAAAATAACATTTCAATGTGCTGAAAATTTAAAGCTATCTCATAAATTTAATAGAGATGCTAGAATGGCTGGCAGGGACTGGATCCAAGGATTTCTTAAGAAAAATCTACGAATAAGCATTCGAAATCCTGAAGCTGTAAGTATACAGAGAATTGCAGGATTTAATAAAACCGAAGTGACTAAATCCTCTGATGTTCTCTGTGTTGAAAATATTTCTGCCACCATAACAGACTTTAAGAGTTAATGAAGTTTCAGATAACCATTCAACTAACAACATTTCAGAAGAAACAGCATCAACTAGCAGTAGGAACGTTATAGGACCGCAACCTTCTATAAGTGTTGATATTACAAATTATAAACCAAATGATAGTATAAATCAAGATAACAATAAATCCGACAGTGAACCTCTAGCTAGCGTACTTTCACAACTAATACCTCTGCCTAGCATTGAAAAAGGTAAAGGCATAGGAAAAAAAACACATCAATCCGGAATTCTTACTGCATACAAAAGGCAAAGTAATTAAGAAGATAAAAGAACTTATTTAAGTCAAGTTCATCTGAAAAATCGGCTGATGAACAGGTTCCGTATGACGAGTGCTGATAGTGACTTAGAAAATATTGAAATCCCGCTAAACATCCAGAAAAACACTCAGAAAGAGCGTGATCAGCCTGTGTGCATGATATGCCTCGAAGAGGGAATACTGAGATAAATCTGGTACCGTTGCCGTCTCTGTGCTGGATGGGCTCATGAGGCATGTACAGGATGTGATGATCCAAATCGCTATCGCTGTGATTTTTGCATTTAACTCGATTTATATTCCATTCTGTTTTATGATTCCATGGGGTAACCATTTCTAACTTTTGATTTTGTTAATTCTTATTTGTTTGTTTAAAGAGTTTTGTTACTTTTTTTGTTTCATAATTTTGACTATTATGCCCTCATAGACTGACTTTCATTCCCCTTACATGTGGGTAATAGGAGCCAAAATGACTTTTTGGTTTTTTAATTATAATTATATTTATGGTAATGATAACCAAAAATACTTAAGTAACTCGATACCTGAATAGTTTTTAAAGATAAGTAAGTGTGAATAAATTATAAGACTGATTATTAATGATTATAATAACGAGTTTTCCTTAAGTGACTCCCAATTCCCCCAACTCCCCTACTTCTTATCAAACCATAGAAGAGATGTATAAATGTGGATGGTTTTTTGAAATGTTTGGTTGTTCTGGTAATAAAACCTATTGTTTTGTATGACTTAGAAATAAAGTGATCATAATAATTTCTGAAAGTAAGTTTTTCATCAATATTTATCTACATCAAGGTTTCCTTTTACTCAGACTTATTATCTTTTATTCTTCCTATTTTTTGCTAGAATCTATTACTTTTCATCGGGTCTATACCCCGCTCCACAAGGTTGAAAGCCCTTTGATGGTGGAGGGGGGGGGGGGGGTGTTGCGCGGGGAAAAACGGGTACTTCCGCATGTTGTTTTGTTGATTAGTAATCCAGCCAGTGCCTTCCTCCATTCTACCCACATTCCTTTCCGCACGCACCGAAAGGGGGGAGGGGGGGAGAAGGAAGCTAAAATATGTGGCGTGATTTTTGTCGCCAATGAAGAAGCGCGCCCCCCCTCCCCCGCCTGAATAGGAGTGGAGATGGTTGGCGAATAAAAGGATGCCCGCCGCCGCCGCTCGCGCTTTTGTATCGTAGTCGAAGACCATCGCTAGATGTGATTGTAACTCTGTGGCAGTCACGCCACAAAACAACCTAGTAGTAACCGCCTCGCATAGTACAATTTGTCGTCGCGCACCGCACCTCTCTTCCAACGCAGTCGTAACACCAGGGGCATCGTCCTCGAGGCCGCTGAAGCAGGAGGAACCCCACCCCGGTAAGTGATCCTTTAAACCATCTTGAGCTGTTCTTTTTTTTGTAAGCTATTATTTGAAAAAAAAATTGTCCCGCTGGGTTTCTTGCTGGTTTTTCCCAGGTCAGGTTTTTTTTGCGAACCAGTGGTAAATGAAAAAGTGACTTTCAATAAGTATTGTTTATAATCTACATTGAATAAAAAAGTTTCTGTTTCTGTTTCTTTACTGTGTCATCTTTCTCCTAACAGCTAATGTTTAAATTCCATCATAGGGGACTGGCTAAATTATAATTAGGTAATAGTCCATTGTCCAAGACTGCCACGTGATCAGCGATCTTGTTTGGTTATAGAGAGCCACGCATACAGTCCACAACAAAATTGATCTTTCATAACAAATTTTGGCCCAACCCGGGAATCGAACCCAAGACCCTATTACTCCACCATTTTCAGGTTCCTTCAATCTGGATGCGAAAGGCAACATAGTCACCCTAACCATTTAGCATCCATCCATTCCGGATTCCAACCCAGGAACCATTAGCACGACCAGGGGGGATGTTTGAATCATAGCGAAATCTTTGGATCAATAAAACAAAACAAAAACCAAACAGATGCCAGAGAATTAACAAACCTCACTGAAAACAAGGATGGTGGACGCTATTCATCATGTTTGTCCGTCAGTCCATCAATTAGACAATCAGTTTGGCATCAGTCTATCCAGACTGATGGAATCTGAATACTTACATCATACCACAAGTCTAAAGGTTAAAACATTTATTATAAAAACCTTACTGCATATAAGAGTTTACTAAAAATAGAAAAGTTTTATATTCTTTATCATTCCTACGTCAGTGTAGCATCAGATAAGGCATTATTCCTTATTGCACACATTGTACAAACTTTTACTATGGGCAGTCATAAATCTTTTGGTCGAAACAACTTTAACATCAATAACCACTTTTAAAGCTAATAAGATTAGAATTTATATAACATTCTATAAACATTAAACTTTTAACAAACTCATATCAATTAGCAATAGCAATAAAATGTACAATTAAGTTTTGTTTCAAAGAAGGTAGTTGCCCAACTTTTGTACTAGCATCCAGCTATTTTGATGAACTGACATTAGCAGCCAGCCACTAATTTATATTTTCTTTTAAATATTTGATACCCTGCTCTGATAACTAATGACATGATAACAGCTTGCATTCAAAAAAAAACTATCTGGTCAATCTACTGGTATGTTGTATTAAGACTGTGACAATGTTTTCTTTTCTAAATACCTTTTTTATCATGCCATGCACATTCAGGCTATAATTTTATTTATGTAATAATACAAGGTTTAAAAATCAAGAAAGAAATTTTGAAAACACCTTGCTCCAGATGATAAAATTATAAAAAAAGATTACTCATTGTCTTTTCTGTGACTAATGAGTATGTTAATTATCAATAAATACCAACAGGAAACTTATTTTGTAATTATAATAACTACATACTATGATATTTAATTGATTTATTTATGATTTGAATGTTTTCATTTTCTTTTTCTTTTTGTTTACTGTAGGAACAGTAACCAAAGTTTTTTGAACAGAAAAAGCATATAAACTAGCATTTATTTTCTTCAATTTTTCAAGTTCTTCTCTGAGAGTTGTCTCTTTTTGTTTGAATTCCAATTCCAATTCCTTTGATGGTTTTTGTTGCTCGATGTCTATATTCCGTGGTGTAGGCCAGAAACTAATCTTTTTGTCTACTAAAATCTCTAGTTCAGATATTTCATCCTTATCTTTTTCTAATGCTCTTTCTAAACTGTGTATAACCAAATGAGGTTTAAAGTCTTGTTTGTATATAGCCTCAAAATTAAGAGTGAAGAAGGCATTTGTTATTGGTCCTTTATGTCTTATAGTTCTTATTGGTTGTCTACTTTTTATGTGCCATAGAATGACTAGCTCATCATTAGAGGCTGACATTAATGTTTCGCCATCGAGAGAAACTGATAAACAAGTGACAGCTTTTGTATGGGACGAAAATATAAGATTGTTTTCTTCAGGAGATACCAACAAATCTTTGTTCCTCACTGGATTTGTAAGGCTAAACTGATATATAGCACCTTCAGTTGTTCCTACAAATATATTCAACTCCAGTACATCCATTATTATAGATGATAATGGAATATCAAAAACTAAATTCAATAACATATGTCCAGTTGTTAAATCATAAATTTTACAAGTCCGATCACTAGATACTGTGCAAAGCCGACCCATCATACCTGTTTTACTGATACACAAATCGGTCACAGGTAGGGAATGATCTGAAAAGATATACACGGGGTCATATTGGCCTGCAACTGATTGAGTGACTAGTTCCACTTCCGGATGAGACGATATTACTGCTAACGACCACACCATAACCATTCCATCTTCAGCTGCAGAAACAAAATACCGACCATCGCTGGTAAATCTTAACAAGTTAACCTTCTGGTAATGCCGATTTATGATTGTTAATAAATTTCCACTTGCAGTCTGCCATAAATAGATTTTCTCATCAATGCCTGCTACACAAAATGATCCATCATTGGTAAAAGCGAAAGCATTCGCTTTTCCCGGTAAAATAAAGCGCATGCCTTGTACAGTTTGATGTGAATTAAGAGGCCAAATGTGGAGAATTGGCTTAGTTCTTTCGACTGCTGCGAGGTAATCATCACCGACGAAAGAAAGTGTCCGTATTCCAGCTGTTCCACCGCCTTTATAGGTCATTAGGCTAGTACCGGTGTGAGGATCCCAGACACAGCACGTCCACAATGTATTATTAGCGTCACTCGTTACTAAAACTTCTAATAGATTAGACATTTTAATTCCCTAGAGTAATCTTTGAATTACGAAAGACTGGGCGTATCAAGTCAAACACAAATTAAAATTATTTACCATGCCATGTGCACAGTAACTTCGTTCGAAAATGTTTTTGACTTTTTTCATTTGACACGACTAATTGCCAGTATCTGTTTATATAGTACGCGTGTATCTAGTTTACTTTGAAGATTAGTTTTAGTACGTACGTAAATTCTAGATTCAAGATGAATAAAATTCTATATAGTAATTTAATTTTTCAATTATCTTTATAGTTCTGATATAATTACTAATTAATAATGAAATTAAAAATCAAACATTTTTAATCGTACTCTTTCTACCTAAATCTAAAACCTAAAAAAAATTATGTCTATGGTCAAAACTACTGTGATTGGTTGCTTCGTTGATTCGTTGCTTCACGTGTAATGATAATTATGGTTGGTGGACCGACTTCCGTTCCTTAAACAATTCCACCAATCAATGAAATATTAATTTTATGTTCATTGGTTGACTTAGTCTTTGATATATAATAAATAATAATTTAGTGAGTGTATATAGAAGTTTTTGTAGCAGTGATTAAAATTGTCCGTGATTGTAGTGTAATCAAATAGTGAAATACAGTGTCTCATCATCACCAATATGTTTAAAAAGTAAGTACAACATACAGGTACACTAATAATTTAATCAGTATACTTAAACATGCATTTGCCTTAGATTTTTGTGAAGGTTTTTAGGTTATAGGGTTGCTTATTTTGTGTCAACTGTCAATATGACGTGAAAGCAGTGCTACCAATACCAAAAATATTTACCCATAAAGATTAAGACAAAAGAGACTATATGAAGTTAGTTGAATAATGTACTTCTCCGCGGCATTGGTGAGAAAATTTTCATGCTTCGTAATTTTGTAATTTTTGACAAAAAGAAGCATTAAAAAATGGAGAAATGATTTTGTGCGTGGATGTGCAAGTGGTTTAGCATCTGATCGGAAAAATAGACTGAAAATGAATTTTATTGACTGAACTTAGCGATCGCAGCGCCTCACTTATGGTGTCCATATTTCTGGGACACTACTACGGCGATCGTTCTCCTGTTCTCTAACCTTCATGGTTATCACATAATATAACCACAGAACAACGAACATCACTATCGAACAAAAATTTAATTATCTGTACGGGTAGATACAGTTCAATTTTTAAAAGGGAGTTTTGGCGGGAACTTGGCCGTAGACGGATTGTCACTCCTGTTTTGTCGCTTAAATAATGATTTGAAGTGGATTTTAATTCGTAAAAGTGATGTGATTTTGTGAATTAAGTGTCTGCGCGTGTGAACTATTATAGAAAACGACGAAACAAGTGCTTTGATGTTGATATAAACCTCATCATCATCAACTGGCCGTTGGGTTGAGCTGTCGTCAAAATTCCCCAAAAACTTTGCAATGTGACGCATCAGCATATAGTTAAGAAAAAAATACATAAAAATTAAGATTCTGAAAGAAATATAAGGCTCAGAAGAGCTAGAACCCAGAGCAGTAAAGCTAGTTAAATAAAAAAATCAATTGTTAAAAAATTATCATAGTTAATAATAATAATAATTCATCAATGCACTTTAATGGAACTATTTTTGAACTTTTATTGCTCTCTGATTGATTTAACTCTTTTTTTAATGTAGGGAATTTCTTTATTTTTAACATGTTAGTCCCATTGTACATTAAGACTAAAACAATTTATTAAATTACTTGTACATCATACTAACTAAATGATACGCCATTTGAGCAGCACTTGATACTTGATACACTAAAACAGAAACTTTTTATTCAATGTAGATTATAACAATACTACTTACGATTATTGAAAATCACTTTTTTAATTTACATTTTTGAACTTTGTGTAAGACAAATTTTGTATATTATTTGCTGGGATTTTGTTGTAAAAGCGTAAACATCGCCCCAAGATTGAATTACTGACGTATTTACAGAAAGAATATCACTTATTTTTGCGAAACTACTGTTATTTTTGTGTACGTACATTACATTTTCATAAATGTATTATACACTACATTTTTAATTTCTTTTTAAATATTTTGAAGTTAGGGTGATAAAGGAGCACACATTTTACCAGATGGTAAGTGGATGTTGAGGCCCATAGACATCTACATTTATCCTCGAATAAAATGCAAATGTGTTTTTAGTTGTCAACCACGGGGACTCCGATGAAACACAGCAGTATTATGCCGCTATTTCACTATGCTATTATGTGCAAGTGAAATCCTTCCCCGCTCAATCTATAGTCGATCTATACGTGCTGCAGCCATAATACGCTGTAGCGTGCCTCTATTACATAACAAAGTAACAATAATTATTATGGCTTAACAAAAACAGCTTTGTAATAGGATAGGCAAGTAATTACTTGATTTTGATAGGTAAATATTTAAACCACAATTTTAATATTTCAATACTTATATATTTTACACGTATCTTCTTTTTCTATTATTTTCACTCGATTCATTATTATTTCCGTTCTAAAGCACAGCACTAAGAGTTGTTGATGACTTGCATCTACGTTGTGGCAATAGAGAAGAAATGAAATGAAATAAACATGCTGAATAGATGTTGGTTTGGTTGGATGGTGGTGATCTGGTGAGCAATAAGCAAGCAAAGTAAGCAGTGCTCACAAATTGTACGAAGTTTGGAAGAATAAACGGAATAAATGGAAATGATTTTTAAACGAACTTACGATGCAGTCAGACTTAACCTCATCCAGATTGCTATTTAGTAGATGCAAAGAACGCTTCGATGCAATAAATGTTAATTATAACAATCACTTTTCAAGTCTTAAACTGGAAAGATAATTCACTTCCTCGCAACTTTATAGGATTACATGAGGAGATGTGAGGAATACCCTTTTAATAATTGACGTTTAATAAACGCGAAACAAAGATAAAAGTCCTAGCATCTTGCTGTGTTCTTTTCTAAATAAAATGATAGGTAAGGTAATTAGTTCCTACTTTGATAATTCGGTTCAATATCACTTACTTGTTTGGAACTCTACAAAGTTTTATTTCACGATCCTCCTTGTTTGCTTTTTGTAAAAAAAAAATACGTGTAGGACTGAAAACAGTAACTGTCACACTAATAATAAATTACACATCATGCAGTGCTTCAATGAAAATTGGTTAATGGAGACTTCTTTCGAAGCTTGACTTAGTTTCACGTAGCAAAAAAACAGCATTCGATTGCATTTTGTACAAATGTTGAAGATTATAAATGAATAAAGAAAATGAATTGTTGTAAAAAGCGATATCTATTTATTCTATATATTATAGTCGATATATTATTCTAGATATTTTCATTTAGAATTCATAAGAAATTTCACTCACAATTATAATTCGAATGAAAATACAGGTTTTATGACTTTTCTGTAAGTCAACACTGAAGGCAAGCAAACTCGTTCGGTTGCGGAATTTGAGTTTAGGTAAAGTCGTATAGCAAGTACCCTAAGTATGCATAGAGAGAACCTACAATTCTATATATTTAAATTGAATCAATATACTTGTCTCGCTTTTTCTAATTTAATTTTTAAATAAGGCAAAATGAGACAAATCTATTGAAAGATGTTGCGTGGAATTCATGCGCGGAAATAGAAATGTCAAGTGGTCATCTTTGGTCTCTTTATGCTATGACAAATATGAGAGTAAGTTTAGTACACTCGCAAGGTCTGATTTATTAGAAAAATGACATTCCTATTGTAGTTATTATGTGAGACGTTATATTACAACACATTACGTCTTTCGTTCATATTGTTCATTTCATTATTGGTTTCGTTCGCAATGTTAGCAACAATCGACATCGATGTGTACTTGTTTTTGTTTAGTAATTTATTTTTATTACATTATATGCCTAAAAATATAAAATAAATATGACTAGACTTATTATAATTAGAACGATCAAGTAAACTGTTTTCTAAATCAAGTGTTGATGATTATTATATTACATTTCAAATATTCGTTTCGCAAACTTTGAAAACTAATATTTAATAATATTCATAGTACTTAATCTTGACAGTTACACGGTATATGAGCGAGTGTGAGTGTTCATTAAAACCTGTCCAGCCTTTCTTAAATGATGATTTTTCGCAAATGCGGTAATTAATTTTTATTTATATAGATTTACCATTTCCTTAGCGGAAAATAATACCATCAATTTTATTCAAATAAGCTTTATCAGATTGGATGAAAATATTACTAAATCATGAAGTTAAGGCAGGATCTTGATAACGCTGTGTAGCGGCAGCGATAAAGAATTAACTACCTTCTACCAAATTATATATATATATATATATATATATATATATATATATATATATATATATAATAAATGAGATAGGAAACAACAGTATCTTCCTGAAGTTATTGATAAAAACACAAAATAATAAAAATTATGAAAAACTATAAGACTTAACCATCTAGAAGCATTATTGGACTTCGTTTTTGTTGTTACATGGTAAATGAAGCTACCCTAAACTTTCGTTGATGTAAGTATTGCAAACCGGATTAATAAAAATCCTTAATTTTACTAAGTCATAGACTAAATGAATATTACAACGTTTTTTGTTTCTCAAATGCTTATGGCACGTTATTAGAGGTATCTATGGAATAGAAAAACGACAACAAACTTCTAAAAGAAAAAAAGGGGAAGAAGAAAGAAAGGTGAAGAATAATATGCTCTGATTATATTACATACCAAAGAAATGAGACGGTCCAAATTTGTATGAAGCGTAGGCCTGGTTTTGTACAAGTAGGGAACTAAATTAAAATAATATATTACACCACTTTTGGTCATTCAAATCCACGAATTTGCCTTTATTTCAGTGTTATTAATATTTAATTCGTACCAAAAACTGCAACACCAATGGCTAATTTATGTTGTTTTAACGTTAGCTGTCAACTGTCATGAAGTTATTGACAACCAGTGATTCAAAATGCACTGACTTAGAAGTATATGAACT